AGCACGCTCCCTGGACCGCCAGATCGGCGCTACTCGCGCTGGCAACGGGCCCCTGGCTTCAGAGCCGTAACGAGCCGCAGCAGACCCAGGACTTGTCTGGGTCCGAGTTTATTTTGGCTGGATTTTAGCTGTTTCTACAGAACTGTGCAAGAAACTTCCACCTAGGTACCCGCTACCTCACCGCTCCTGGGTGAGACCCCCACGGTCTCCCGTGTCGTGGGGGTCACCACGACGTGACCCAGGCTCGGGTGCCTGTCGTCTGTTTGGGGCCTGTTTTAGTGATGTTGTGAAGTAAACTGTTGCTTAGCTTCAGCTTTGCTTAGCTTTGGGCAATTGCATGTAAAGGAGCGTGCACGTTAACCAGAGAAGGGCTAACGAGCACAGTTAGCTACAGCGCAGCTGACCCAGGGACCAGGAAGCGAGGGAAGGGAGCAACCCACCAGCAGAGAGGGAGCCGAGACAAACAGAAACATCCCCGAGCAGCCCCCAGCCCAAGGGGGAAAAGCCAAAACCTCACCACAGCGCTCTCCTCAAAACCTCCCCACAGCGCTCTCCTCCGGGCGAGGAAGTCGGGGCAGCGGCAGCCGGCCGTGACAGCACCGAGGTCGGGCGAGCGGGCCACCAGGAAAGGGGCAGCTGCTGGGAAGGTGGGGTATAATAGAATTAATTGCATTGTTAATTGGGACCACCAAAACCTGTGCCGAGTGTCAGCATCCTTGTAACCACACAACAAAACGCATGTGCTGTGTCTTGCTGAGACTATTAAAGCACGAAGCAGGCTAACGCCGAACTCCGATTCCTGCATCGGGGAGACAGCCCAGCGCAGCCAGCGGGCTGCGGAGAAGTTAAACGGGATGAAGCGCTTCAAAGGTCACGGCAACTGGGGAGCTTCTGATCACTGGGCAAAGGCAAGCGGCCCCCGAGACCCCGGAGGGTGGCGGAGCGAAGCCCCTCCCGGGCCCGCGAAGGCGGCTGGCAGCAGCCAGGGAGGATTCGCCAAGGGCACATCGCGCCCGACCGACTTCGACGGAGGGCCGGGACGTCGGAGGCCTCGGCTCTCGCAGGGCCCCTGACGGTCTGCCCCGGCGTCCTTAGAGCCGAACCGGGGAGAGAGGCTGGGGGAGAGGGAAGGGGGGGGGGG